TCAGTTTTGAAAGTATTCTACCTCTAAAAATAAATAAATGACTGCTTTGGGGTAAATCATTTAATATTTTTAGACTTCATTTTGCTCATCTATAAAATTTAGTTAATCCCATACTTAATGAATCAGTAACTCAAGGAATTAAATATGCAAGATACAGATTTATAAGAAATTTAACAAATACCCAACATTATTTTTTATAAACTAAAGTCTGAGAGCCACAGCCCTATATGGGGATTAAGGGAAAAAATCAGTAAATTAATGTAAACTAAAATAAATGTACACAATTGTACATAATTTAATATTTAATATTGTTTTTCCTTGGATGTCTTCAATAAGTTTAAAATCCTCAATTAAAAAGAATGACCTAGGCAGGGAGCATGTTTTAAAAATTATACCCACACANTACATAATTTAATATTTAATATTGTTTTTCCTTGGATGTCTTCAATAAGTTTAAAATCCTCAATTAAAAAGAATGACCTAGGCAGGGAGCATGTTTTAAAAATTATACCCACACAGGAAGAAAAAAAAAAAGACAATGGGTTTATGGCTGAAGGATCGTGGTTAGGCTCCACTTTCTGAAGAAATGGTTTGAAGAAGCTAGAAAGAGAACTGGTAGAATTGCCTCCTCTGGGGGAAATTTGGGGCTTTGAGAAGACTTCTAGGAAAAGCAGAAGACAGTGGACATGCCTCCAAAAGAGGCATTGTAGAAAGTCCTTTGAGGTAATCACCCCACACATCCCCTGGGCCTTAACAACAAGCACCCATAGGTCAAAGTGTACTTATTCCATTTGGACTTTCCTGGGGAGATGAGGCAGTTAACCCCATCACGTACCCTGCAGTGGGGGCTGTACACGGCATGAATCTGCTCGAATAGTTGGCCTTTCCCATTCAGGTGGAAATGCTGCAGGAACTATTTCCTTTCCCCCTGGGTAAGGAGTGGTGACTCCTTCTTCATTAGGAAAAATTGATGGAAATATTCCTGGATGAAATATGAGAAAGGGATTAGTACTTAGAGACAATAGGACAGACCCATAGTAACCGTTACCCAGGACATGGCCTTATTTGAGGGCCCAGGAAGAACGGTGCTTTATTTATCTGGCTATGTCCTGGATAACCTCCTATTTTCAGTCGAATGATTGAAAGCATCTCTGACTCTCCATGTCACTAGAGAGATGATAGTAAGCACAGGTGACAGAATAAATGTGACTTAGATGAATTGTAAGAAAAACCCAAAAATAAAATATCCAAGTTTCAGAATAGAGAGGCCCAGGTAAAAAGGACATGAAGATATTACATGGGACTTGCCCAGGGAAGATGGCCTCTGCTCTTTATGACTGATTGAGGTCTTCTGTGATTCTTGGGACATAGAATTTGGCTGGTTCTGCATTGCCCAGTCAATTTTCATTTACACATTTCATCCCATTAAAATTATTTTAAAGATCCCATTCTTCACCTGCTCCTTGTCTCCACTGACTTTGTCACCAGTCCAGTGCACTAAATCACAACTTCTGAAAAAAGTAGCACCGTATATGATAACCAGGCTCTCTCTCTATATATTTGAACCCTAGCTGGATTCGAAGTACTTTTAGGGTAATGCTCATGTCTAATACAACTTGGTCTATATCACAGCTCTTTTTTCATCTGTTTTTTTTTGTTGTTGTTGTTTGTTTTGTTTTACAAGGAATTTTTTTTCAGTTCTGTTGTTTTATTTATCTCTTTACTTTTTAAATTGAAATATACTTGATTATATATATTTGGGGGTACAGAGTTAACTATCAGTATTTGTGCAACATGGATGAACTTGGAGAAGATTATGTGAAGTGAAATAAGCCAGGCACAGAAAGAGAAATACCACATGTCC